CGACGTCAGGCACTTTCAATGCCCCGTGGCACCGAGCAGGTACCAGGACCGCAGGATGTTGGCCTGGACTGTGCAAACTAGAACCAAGCACAACTGAAGTCACCTGCAAGAAGCCAGTCACAGAGATTCTTTTCTCAAAAACCCACTTTCGTATTTTGAAGTTCGTGTTTTCTGGGCTGACCTCCTGCAACGGTCAGTTCTGGTTTATTCCTTCCCCCCAAACTCATCAAACCAAATATACAGTATCTCCACATTTTCCTGCATGTAGATTACGCCCCAGTCAATTAAAAAAATTTTTAGACAGACAAAACCTCCATTATTTAGACATTGGAAAGGGGAAGAAGTATTAACTCTTTAAGAAGTGGCAAATAGTTCAGCGAGAATCATTATAAAATGTTGTGTTTCTTGTCTTCCAACAAGTAACACAAGAACACTGTTCAAAAACAGCAGTCAGCAGCTTCACACTGTCCCTTTCATAAGCCAATCTGCCTGTGAGGACCAAAACTCTTAACTTTTCTTTCTGACTCAGAGTCATGACTAATAACACACTATGCTGGAGAGGTGGCTATTATGGTGGTTGGAAAACAAAGGCACTAAAATATGTCTTCTTGAAAAAATTCATTTCAGCCTTTTTTGGTCATTTGCTTTTCTCTCATAAAATAAAGGAGGATGCTTGCTCCTAGTAATTCTCCCGGCCTTTTACTCCAGGACGTTCCTGTGCCAGAAATACATTTCACGTGGCCTGCCCTCCTCCCAGGATGCACAGAGGCTGGTTAATCCCCTGACAGCAGCTCCTATTTTCCAAAATGCAGCTGGCTCTGGATAGACCCATCTATTCCGTCTATGGGAATTTCTGCCTAGATGCCTTTAGCTTACACTGTTAGCTCAGCCTACACTCTCCACGACAGCAATGTCCTCTTTCAGTGGCTCCTAATTTTCCATGTTGCTTTACTAGAAATATTCCAGTTCACACACTCCTTCCTCTTCCAAACTACAGATTCTGTTTGGGAACTGTCCAGAATATGCAACGTGCAGAAACCTAGATTCAGAGCGAGTCGCACAGGATCACAAAGTCACCAGTAAGCAGAATCACTGATGGAAGAATCTACATTACAGATGTCCCACTCAAATCCTTTTCTGAACACAAAAACATAGTCTCCTTGACTACACTTGGGAGCTCCCGCTCAGGGACATGTTTGCAGGTCTGCCCCAGCACCAAGGAGACTGAAGGACTGCTCACTGATTGCTTCTAGGGAATTAAAAATATCCAGAACTGTCCTTTTAAAATCAAATCCTCAAAAATGAATAAAGACTCACTATTATCTGTTGGAGAGTTCCAGCACTATTTACCTACTCTATTAGCCATGAACTTATCAGACTTGGCCAGATCCAGAAATGATTTTATCTCACTCAAAGACTCCTAAATCTGAATCCATGTATCTGTTTCTGTAGATTCAGTATAGACGCCCAGGAGAACAAGTAGATTCTCATTATAAAACCGCACCCAAGTTTTGCCTAGTTAGCCTTATGAAAGAGGACACAAGGTTATAACATAACTTAGAATTCTCCACAGGGAAAGAGATCAAATCCCACCATATTCATGACAACAAAAACCATGTGTCTACAGTTGCCCAAAGGCTGTGCATTGCAAAGTTGACCCCTGAACAGCACAGGTTTGAACTGCATGGATCCACTTATACATGGATTTTTAAAAATGTAATACAGGGGCGCCTGGGTGGCTCAGTCGGTTGAGCGGCCGACTTCGGCTCAGGTCATGATCTCGCGGTCCGTGAGTTCAAGCCCCGCGTCCGGCTCTGTGCTGACAGCTCAGAGCCTGGAGCCCGTTTCAGATTCTGTGTCTTCCTCTCTCTGACCCTCCCCCATTCATGCTCTGTCTCTGTCTCAAAAATAAATAAACATTAAAAAAAATTTAAAAAAAAATGTAATACAGTACTATACATGTATTTTCTTTCTTATGATTTTAATACCTCTTTTCTCCAGCTTACTTTATCATAAGAATACAGTATATAATACATACATAACATACAAAATGTTTGCTAACTGATTATTTACATTATCGGTCGGGCTCCTGGTCAACAGGTTTTTAGCAGTTAAGTTTTTAGGGGGTCAAACGTTACACACAGATTAAAAAAACATTTTTTTAATGTTTATTTTTGAAAGAGAGTGCAAGTGGGGGAAGGGCAGAGAGAGAGAGGGAGAAACGGAATCTGAAGCAGACTCCAGGCTCCAAGCTGTTAGCACAGAGCCCGATGAGAGGCTCGAACTCACGAACCACGAGATCATGACCTGAACCGAAGTCAGATGCTCAACCGGCTGAGCCACCAGGCATCCCCCACACACAGATTTTTGACTGTGCCGGGGTGGGGGTGGGGGGGGTGGCGCCCCCTGTTGTTCAAGGGTTAGCTGTACTTTGATATGAACGCAAAAGTAAGAATAATTCTTTAAATGATCTTGAAACATTGCTCTGTCAGGGGAATGATAGAGCACTGGTCAATTACAATTTAACAATCCCATTTTCTCACAATTCCATTATTTCTCTATATTCCAGTAGGAATTCATTATAACTTATATTAGGTACAAAGAACAAATGTTTTTTAAAATGAGGATAAATGAACAAAAGGAAAAGGAAAGGAGAACTAGAAATGTTCTCTATCCTGATCTGGGCGATGATTACAGGGGCATATACACATATGAAAATTCACTGAGCAGTGTGCTGAAGGGTTGTACTTTTTTTTTTTTT